ACCAATAAAATGTTGGGAAATTCTTGAGTAGCTGCAGAATTGGCGACTCCTCAAGCAGAGCTCAGCTCCATGAGTGAGTAAGTAACGTATCATCGAAAGACAGTGTTTCGTGGGTGATGAATTTGAAAGGAAAGTTGTGGTTTAATTCTGGTCGGGATAGCTATGGGCTGCATGGCCAGGTTCGATTCCCGGAAGAGGAAAGATTTTTCAGTACTCCACAGAGTCCAGACCGGCTCTGGGGGCACACACAGCCTCCCATCCAATAGGCACAAGGGGTGATTTCTCGGGGAGTAAAGAAGCCAGGGTATGAAGATGACAACTCTATCTAGTACTAGGGTCAAGAATGGTGGAGCTATAGCTCCATTCCCTCATACATCACGGCGTGGTGCTTAATTAATTAAACCTAGGGACTGCTTTACCTTTTTACTATCCCAGCATATGCCTGGAGGAACTGAGGAAAACTAAGAAAGCCTCAGTCAGGACAGTCGATGTCCTAGTCGAAAATCGAAGTTAGCACCTCCTGAATACAAGCCAGAATTGTTACCGAGTGAGCCAACTTGATCGGTGATTAGGCCTAATGTTTTCAAATGGATTAGAAGCAACAAGTGGAATATGCAGGACCACATTACTCGTGCTCGTGGGGAGACTCGTCTGGCTTTTACTTGTGCTCGTAAATCTTCGTCCACACTACTTCAGTTGTTCGCCAGGTTTCGGCGCGTGAGGATCCGTATATTTACTCGTAGTGTGTATAGGCTGTAGTCGTATTTTAATTTATTGGCTATAGTTTTTAAATTAAAAATTTGCTTGTCTCGTGACTTGTCATATCGTTCACATTATTCGCGAGCATAGCGAGTCACACAAGCACGAGCACGAGTAATGTGGACGCGCCTTAAGAATTCTGATTTATGTGTTGCATTTGACAAAGATGGCGGTTCATTGCGCAACGTCTGTGATGTTACCCATGTTATAGAGTGTTCCAGATCAGATAAAGGCACTGTGAAGTTCTTCTCACTTCGGACCTCAAGTCAGAACAGAGTTACGTCACAAGCACAGAACTTTCTATCCAGTCACAGTGGAATAGCCAGTTACGTATATCGGTAAATAAGCATTTAAATACATTTAACGAAGCCGTCGATATGGCGTCGGATGACGGGCTGATTAATGAAAGTGGAACAGTTTACTGAACGGGAGAACTCGGAGAAAACCTGCTCCTCTGTCAATTTGTCCCGCCACCTGAGCTCTGACCCAACACGCTCCGCCGCGGTGGGATGTAGCGGCGTGCAGTCAGTTTCCGGGCTAAATTGTTAGCTACACAAACAGCCAGTAAGAAGCAGAAACTGCCCTGCTTGGTCCTTGCTGGTATGTTCTTCCGAAACGTCGGTAAACTTATACCAGGCTTTCTTCCTTGCCTACCTATGAGAAAGAGCCGGGATAGTTCAGTCGGTATAGTGACTGACTACGGGCTGGAGGATCGAGGGGACGGAGTTCGAGTCCCGGTAAGGTCAAGAATTTTCTCGTCCAGACAGACTGTGGGGCCAACCCAGTTTCATATTTAATGGGTAATGGGGTCTCATTCTCCGGGAGTAAAGCGGCCGGGGCGTGAAACTACTCTCCTCCGACTAGTTTTGAGGTAAAGGAAACGTGGATCTATACATCCACTCCCCCAGAAGCCTTCATGGCGTAGTGCTGAATTCGTTAAGCACAGGAACAACTTTACATAACCGGTTCAAAATAGACAACTGAGTACCTAAGAAGCTAATTAGGCCGCGCCATACCTCAAGAGGTTAGTCGCTGGCTTCCCACCGCGGCTGCCCGGGTTCGATCCCGGGTCTGGTCGAGTGGGATTTGTGGTGGACAAAGTGGCGCTGGGGCAGGTTTTCTCCGAGTACTTCGGTTTCCCCTGCCAATCTTCGTTCCACCATTGCTCCACAATCACCCTCACCTATCATCTGGGGCTGGTACAATATGCCAGAAGTGGCCGCAGTACAAGGGGCTTAGTCCCACCCCACTAGCAATAAAAAAAAGAAGCTAATTAACTTTATGCAGTATCCTCGCAAAGTTAGACCCTACATGTCAGAAACGATGCACCGAGTAACGTCTCGTGCTCTGACATGATGTGTTCCTTACGGGCTGAGGCGTTCTTAAGTCCAAGCCTCGCCATCTCAAATCGGATTCCTTTTCTTTAAATAAAAATTGAAAAAAAAAGAACTAAATTAAACTAAATATTAATAAGAAGAATTAGACTTTTAATTTTTATTTTCTGACGAACTATGCTACAAGCCGGAAGGTCGCGGGTTCGAATCCTGATGAGGTGGATTTTTCAATTGACCTAAACCTTCCAGCCGCACTATGGCCCTGGGGTCGACTCAGCCTCTAACAGAAATGAGTACCAGGAATCTTCCTGGGAGTAAAGGGCGGCCGGCGCGTAAGGCTGACAACCTTACCGCCGTGAGCCGATTGTCTAGAGAAAATGTTGGAGCCTCGACGTCTCACAACCATATGGGCCTCCATGCCCTGTTACAGGGATAGCTTTACCTTTTTTAACTTCTGAATACGTATTACATGGCGACCAGTAAAAAGTATTTTAATCAGTGTGAATATAAGTTTGTAAGCAAAGTTTCTGGCTGCCCTCTCCCCTTGGAGAAAATCCTGCGGTGTCCACTGCTTATACCAAATTTAATCCAAATATGTTGGTGACAGGAATAACAAAAATGACTTCGAAATCCGATACATGGCTTAGACCAGTGGCTATCAACCTTTCTGAGTCCGTGGCCCGATAAATTATTTTTTTTCTATAAGACGAGGGCTCGGTACCGAGCCGAGGCCCGGAGGTTGAGAAACACTGGCTTAGATGATGTTAAAATTTAGACGAAATGCAAATCGACGCAGCGTCCGCAATCCTAGTTCCCTAAGAATAACACATAAAACACTGACAGGCATACGTCTGTTTAGTGTGATTGACTATGAATCTGTTTCCTGTAATATTTCCTGTACATTATCCATCGAAAGGTGACTGGAGTTATGCTAATGAAGGTTAGAACACAAAGTGCATAGTTAAGCACCATGCCATATAGGCGTATCAGTCGGTAAAGCAGTATACTACGTGCTGGACAACTGCAGAATCGGAGTTCGATTATCGCCAGAAACAAGAGATTTTCTTTTCTCTGCAGCCGCCAGACCAGTTCTGGAACCCACTCCGCCTATCCAGGGGGTACCGGAGTTCTTTCTCCAGGGGTATAGCGGCTGGGGCGTGAAGCTGGGCTACCTTCATCCAGTGATGAGTTGAAGATGGATCTCGTCTTCATACCGTGATGCTTAACCGAGGAACAATTGTCATGCAGTCTTATGGGAGATTGGAGGTGTAGCGCCACATTGGCACTAGTGGAGCTGTCAGCTTCAAGCCCCGGCTTCTTTATCACTAGTATCCACAGGGAAACGAGGCTGGGTGGGTCCATATCCGATCTGGAAGCCGTGGAGAAGAAAAAACTCTCTTGGCTCTGCTTGGAATCGAACATCGATTCATTGGTTGTTCTGATCGTGGCTATGCCAAATGGTTCATCGCGATTTTGAAATATTTTCATGATTCTCCAACACATCCTAAAAGAGGTATAAAGATGGGTTAGGTCAATTAATTTCACGGTGATATTCTATGAAGGGTTAATACCATTAAGATTAAGCAGTCTCTGAACATGATCCTGAGCCGGTTCCTTCCGTCTTTCATAATCACAATCTTCTTCCTACAGGATCCATCTTAATGTCCTAGAGTGTCCCTGGACAGTTATCACAGGTATTTCCTCGCCAAAATTCTGGATGAATTTCTGTTCTTCCTATACAAAGAGGGAATAAGTTGGCTTACAAGACATGCTTCTGGCTTGTATGCGGTGCCCGGTTCGATTCCCGATCCATACACTGGCTACTCTGATTTCTCAACCACGCCAAGCAAATGCCGGGATTCCTTCAGGCGCGTCCACATTACTCGTGCTCGTGTGACTCGCTATGCTCGCGAGTAATGTGGATGATATGAGAAGTCACGAATTTTAAATTTTTAATTTAAAAACTATAACCAATAAATTAAAATACTACAGCCTATACACACTACGAGTAAATATACGGATCCTCACTCGCCGAAGCCTGGCGAGCAACTGAAGTAATGTGGACGAAGATTTACGAGCACAAGTAAAAGCCAGACGAGTCTCCCGACGAGCACGAGTAATGTGGGCGCGCCTTTCCACAAACTTTCCAAATCATTATTCGCCACCACTCAATCACCTGACGCCATATAGTCTATCTTTTTTTATTGCTAGTGGGGTGGGACTAAGTCCTTTGTACTGCGGCCACTTCTGGCTATTGTACCAGCCCCAGATGATAGGAGAAGGTGACTGTGGAGCAATTGGTGGAATGAAGATTGGCAGGGGAAACTGAAGTACTCGGAGAAAACCTGCCCCAGTGCCACTTTGTCCACCACAAATCCCACTTAATCAGACCCGGGATCGAACCCGGGCCACAGTGGTGGGAAGCCAGCGACTAACCGCTTGAGCTATGGCGCGGCCGCCGTATAGTCTAAGCAGTTATATATATTCGAAACCTATCTGAACGGCATTTCTACCACAAGTGCATCCTACCTGCTTTCACTATCCTAACAGTGTTTTGGAGACTTGTATTACAAACGAATTTTCCGGTTATACGTATAATATCTGAAATTGTCTACCCATCTGCTAAGGTATTTTAATTTGCCGGATTTATTTTAGGTTATGTTTGTATTGGGTCTATTAAGCACAAGAGAAACATTGATTTTAGGGAAAATTTGGCGATAGATGGCTTCATATGGTTGCATGCTGAAAAGGCTTAAGTACACCGTCACCGAATCTTTTTCTAATATGCTATCACGAAATTCAAACACCAACACTACTGCATGCAATTGTAAACAAAGTGGACACATTTCTAACGATCAGTCAACGTAAGTACCATAAATGTTGCAATAAAACTTGTATATTACACACCTTTTTAGACCAGATATTTTACTCCAGGATTCCCCCAGAGTCACCGCACTTTACTGCACCATTCAACGCTCTTGGCTGGCGCGCACTGACTGTAGGAAGACCGCGCGAAGACGTTCCGTTACAACGGTGATCCGCTCCGTGACTTCGCTCACAGGCTGGCCAACATCAGTAATAACGGCTTATTCCGCTTCTAGCGCTTCCGATTTCAGAGCCCTAACTCTTCACGTTAACATGAGCTCCATCAGCTACATTTCGTACAGTTGTGGCGATAAAGATTTGTAATCTTAGACTAGTTTACCGTCTGTCCTGAGTAGGGATTTTCCTGTTCTTAATAGTCTCTCCAAACAAACTACTAGTTGCCAAGCTAGTCAACAAATCCCCAGTATTTTATGAAACCCGGAGGTTCATTATCGTTTTAATAACAACTCGACATTGATTCGCATCTTTAGATATTTTTTACATTCATTTTAATATTATCCTCCAACTTACTCTTAATCTTCCAAATGATCTTTTGTCTTCAAATACACCTAGCAAAACACTTGCCTTCCTTCTTTCGCATGGGCGTTCGCTGCCCCTTTCATCCCAATCTCCTTTATTTGATCATTCTAATAACATTTGTCGAAGAGCACAAATTGTGAAGTTCTTCACTATGTAATTCTCTCCAGCCTTCTCTTACTTCCGCCGTCTTAAATTCAAATATCCTTCTCAGCAGCCTATTCTCAAACATCACCCCGTCCTGGAAGGAAAATTATTATACACTGACACGTACTTACCAAGCTATACGGTCTATATTTACACCGAGGGAAAAGTTGCCGATGTTGCCGATCACAGAGGCCGCGTGGTCTAACGTGTGAGGTGTCTTCGCCCGCTCGAACACTGGGGTCGTGGGTTCGAATGCCGCTCAAGGCATGATGTGTGTCTATTCCGTGTTTGTGCTGTACTGTGTGCAGGTAGCAGACTTGTAACGAGCCGATCCCCCGCCTAAAGAGCCCTACCGACTGTGAATATGATTACGAAACTGAAAAAGCGTCCAGGGCCCCAAAAAGGGTCTGTACAGCCACTGATGAATGAAAAGGAAATGTTATCTATCTCTGGACTTACTTACTTAAACACAATTTTAAACATCGGCACAAGATGGAGGTGATTGATCAGCTTCACGCCCTTGTCGCTTTACCCACGAAGAAACAACACCCGGTACCTATTGTATAGGAGGCTCGGTGGGCACTCAAGAGCCGGTCTGGACGTTACGGGCAATAGAAGGATCTCCTGCCCTGACAAGAATTGAACCCCTAACCTTCGGTTGTCCAGTGTGTACCATAGCAGCAATACCAACTGGACTGTAAAGGTAAAGAGGTAAAGTTATCCCTGTACTTAACTAATTAAGCCCCACGCCATGAAGACGTATGGGGTAGCGGATGTATAGTATAGATCCACATCTTCCTGACCTCGGCATTAGTTACAGCTGAGTGATCACCTTCAAGCCAAGGCCGCTTTAACCCCGGTACCCATTAGAGAGGAAGCTGGGTGGACTTCAAAGCCGGTTTGAACATGGAGAACATTTTTGACCCTATTGGGACTCGATCTCGGATCCCTCGGTCGTCCAGCACGTAGCCAGTCGCTACACCGACTGAGCTATTCCGGCTCCATACCGACTGGACTACAGAGAAGTTAATGTTTTAGTGAAGATTCGTGACACTGTCCCTTGAGAGAATTCCACGGGCAGTCTCCTCATCTGCTACATAAGCTTTCATACTATTAACTTCTCCTGCTTTTTCTCGCATTCCTTTCCAGACCTACATCTTATGGAATCAAACATCGAGACAGACATTCAAAACCATCTACCACCAATAACAGGCATAAAATAGTCAATCGTAAACCGTCTCATTTATAAAGTATATCACGCATCACGTAGCCACATCAAAATATTACCAATAATCACAAAATAGACACGATACACTGAAACAAAAGACTGATAGCTCGGTCATGACCTGTTATATTACAGAATAATTACATTCATGTAACGTGTTAATNTGAATGGCTTGGAATGCGGAGAGCAGTAGCTGTGGTGATAGGATATCACCACAGCTACTGCTCTCCGCATTCCAAGCCATTCAACTGCTCTGAAGATGGAGGCGCTACGTTCCTCCGAAACGTCGGCCAAAACGAAGAATACACGGTGCCTAAACCCTGAAGACGACTTTCTTCATTGTCATCGCCGTGAAAACCTCAAAACATACAAAGTTATATTTAACGTTCACTTTTACACCAGCGAGTACAATTATTATCACTTCCAGTATCACCGAAAAATTCTTCGGAGCTGGACTATTATAACCCGGTTTCGGACGCAATAGACGGCACTTTCGCCCAGGGTTCCATTTCACGTGTTCTGTGCTCGTTGCCACGGTTATTCCAAGGCAACGATGTGTTGTTTCAACAGTTCGTTGCCACGGTTATTCCTAGGCAACGATCTGTTGGTATTCGATGGACGACATATAACACGTTTTTTACCTGTTTTTACCTGTCACGGGCGTGACATCTATATAACAAGTACATAAAAACACGCGCGTTCGAATGCAACGTTGTGTCAAAATTTCAAAGCAATCGGTGAAGAACTTTCGGAGATCTTCGAGGAGAGACAAACGAACATTTACATTTTTATTTATATAGATATATATTGTGACGTGTCGCGCTATGGAGGACACACCCTGCCTCCCCAGCGGTACGTGGCGGCATCGTAGCGCTGTAGTTACTATGGTAATAGGCAAGTCAGCACCCCGCGGTGATGTAACACGGCGTCAGGCATCAGCGGTACCCACTGCGTAACCGGTAAACACTGCGACTATATAAGAGAGCTTCACTGCGAGGAGAGTTGAAATGTGGCCGTCGCCGAGTTCAGTTGTCAGTTGAATTGGAACCGCCGCCGAGTTCAGATGTTGTTGTCAGTTGAATTGGAACAGCCGCCGAAGACAGTTGGAAGTGAGTCAGTAGTCAGTCAATGTGTGATCAGGAGTGACACAGTTGGAGTATAGCAGCAGTCGCGGAAAGAAGAACCGGACGTGTGTGTAATCGTGCAATTGGGAGTGTGTGATACAGGGACACTTACATAGCTCCCGTACTGTGAATACGTGTAGACTACTGAAGATAGAGTGGAGAGATTATTGCGAATAGGGTTATAAAGTGTGAAACCCCGCAACAGTGTTATAATTAATTGTAGCCGAGAATTGTAGGTTGTTAAATAAACCAATTAACAATCCGAACGGCGTCTTCAGTAACTAAACACGTTACACTGGTGTCAGAAGTGGGATGATTCCAAGAAGCTTTGGTTGCTGTCCTGTAGTGGGCCTTGCTGACTGTGCATTTTGCATTTGGAACGGTCCCTGCATGTGGGAAACCATAGGCGCCGCCCTGGGCACTTGGGTGGACCTGTGTTTGTGGAGTAGCAGGAATCTGTTGGACAGGGGGCTGCTGAACAACTGGTATGGGCTGTGGTGGGTTGCTCATGTTTGCTGTTAGGCGGCTCTGAGGCCCCTGTGCTGGACCGTAGAACCTATGAGGCTGAGGCAATGTTGGTACGGAGTAGCCGCCTGCACCACCAGGCTGGGACATTTCCTCACTATGTGTTGTAATGGCTTGCGGAAATGATTCGGCTTGTTGCTTCAGTCCTCTCCGTCCTGGCTAACCACCTCTACCAGAAAAACGAGTGCCCTCTCACTCGGTACCTTCAAAGCAGGAATCAATTTCTCCCCACTCATTTTATCTTTTCTCTTCTTCAACCTTGAAAATATTAGGTTCCATCATGTACTAGCAGTAACTACCACACAGATAAATTTTCAGATCGTAACAGATACGATATTCGTTTCTTCATAGTACCGTTGCGATGTTAACCTCTGACACAAACTTGTGACAAGACTCAGGGAAAGAGCATGCAAGTCATCTCAAGTCACAAAGCAGATTTTCGATGGGCAGAAAGAACATTGTTGTTTCTTTGATGACGACGCAGTTACGCGAAACGGGATTTTTTGCTGTCACGAAGACCACCTGCAAGTACTCCGCGAATTTCCTGTTCCTCAGCGACGTACTCGTGTAAAAGTCTACTCGTATTTCTGTCTTTCCGAACTTCAAATAACAGGGACAGTAGCAGAATTACATCAACTTATTGTTGTTATTGTTACTCTTATTAGGAGTCGCGGTAACTCAATGGGCTGGTCAATCGGGTATTCTGGGTTCGATTCTCTTCACGGGCAGAGATCTTTCACTTCTCCATTGCCCATTATAGCCTCAGGAGCCCACCGAGCCTCCTACCCATTGCGTCCTGGGATCTGACCAGTCATCCATATCTGGTACCGGGGTTGAGAATGCATGAAGCTATATCTCAGCTCCCCTGTGACATGGTATGGTTCTCAATTCAGCACAGCGGTAACTTTGCCTTTATTATACAGCCCCTGGCTGTTGAGTTCAGCACATAAATAATTATTATTACTATTCTGAGGCCCGGGATAGCTGGACGACCAAGGGGTAGGAGTTCGAGCCCTGGTGGGGGCAACAATTTTCAATTCTCCATGCCATCCAGACCAGCTCTGGGGCCCAACCAACCTCCTGTTAAATGGGTACCAGGGGCTTTCTCTGGGGGGAAAAGCGACCTGGCTGTGAAGCTGACCACTCACCTACAACTAGTGCCAAGATCAAGAAAACGTGGGTCTATACCTCCACTTCCCCATACGTCTTTATTAAGTGTTGGGCTAGCTCAGTTAGTATAGTAACTAAGATATGAGCTGGGCAACTGGGTATTTTATTTGAGGTTCAATCTGTGCAAACATTTTTTCTGCTCCATAGCATCCAGACTAGCGCTGGGGTACACCCAACTGATATATTAACCTAACAACTAGTGGGAAAGGTCCATTGAAATTTGGCTGCTATAATTAAAACTGACTGCAGTCATATATAATGAAAAGCACAATAGATCACTGTAGGTCGAGGTGCAAGGGCCAAGAAGGCCCACCCCTTATACATCATTCATATATAAATCAACAGGAAAAGGAGTCGGTAAATAAAAAGAGACAAAACAAAAATAAACGTAACTAAAACTGACTTTTTCTAGGTAAAATATGAATACAATTTATTACGGAATGCATTTCAA